TAATCCCATGTTGTGGTTTATTTTTCGATGTAGTCAAATTTATTTGTATCTATATTTTGTTTGAGTTTTTAATGAGTTTTAACATTTTTTACGTGGTTCTTTTATAATCTTGAGTGGTTAGTTATTTTGTGTTATTGGTTATAAAATATTTTAATTATGTATTTAGTTTACGAAATTCATTATAATTTCAAATATTTTATCTTTTTTAATAAAGCTAACGGCTCTATTTTCATTTAAAAAAAATTATTTTTGTTTTCATTTTTATCACAAAATGAAAAAAATTGATTAAATTTTTTTAAAAACATTTTTAAAAAAAAGAAAATATGTGATTATTTTGAAAAAAAATAATATGTGTTTATTTTTTCCTCATAAAATGTTTTGTAAAATTATAAAAGTTGAAAATAATATATTTTCAATTTTAATTTTTTTATATACACATATGTCGTAACTGATTTTCGGCGATAAGATAAGATATGTTTTATTAAACAATTTTAAGGGTAAACTGCACCAGATACTATTGTACTTTAGGCATTGTATTGATTATACCGCTGAACTTTCAATTTTTTTGAATTATAGCATTGAACTTTGATTTCTATTTCAGTTATGCCAATTTATTGTTAAATCGTTAACAACATGATGATGTGGTTGACGGCTGCTTACGTGGACACTATATCAAAACAACATTGTTTTTGATGTGGTTGTTAAATTCGTTTTATTGGATAAAATTAAATGTTAAATTGCTCTTAATGAGGCTTAAACCAAGATCGCTGAAAATTCAATGTTCACGTTTGACCATTAGACCAACTTAGATTTTGAAAATAATTTTAACATAAATTATATATATATATCGTAAACTGCATTTAAGATTAATTCTAAAATATATTTCACTCTCATTCTTGACTTGGTCTTCTCAACAACCTTCGCCTTCGCCTTCTATCTTCAATCAAACATTCATCAACAGTGAATTCTTGTTTACCATATAAAGTAAGTTTCCCATCATTAAAAATGTCATTTTCTTCTGGTCTTACTTATGATTATTAAACATAAGGATATCCCATTGCCAAATAATTCCTCGCTCGAGTCCGTCCCCATAGCCATCAGGAAATCCAAGCACATACCATAAGCTGTTGAGGTTCCTACAGAATTGCACATCCGAGTCCTGCTCCGATTGGAGCTTCGACCCGACACCGACCTCAACCCACGATGGTGCCGATTTTTTTTTCTTGCGAATAGCCTGAAGCTACTTCTCTTGGGATTGGCGGAATTTGGGTTGTTGTTGTTGTTATCTTCGTCGAGGAGTGTTAGCTTAGAGAGGTCAATGCAGAAGGAAATGGTGCGATCGGAGAAGCAATGACGCTTGGGATGGAAGCCATTGGTGGAAGAAAGTTTCGATGGGGTATATTGGGGATAAGAGGAGTCTACGATTTGCTGGAGGTGAAAAGATCTCCATGAATGGAGATGAAAAGTGCAAGTGTCTATTGAGTAATGTGGGTCTAGAGCCTTGTGTGACATGGAATGTCAAATTCTCCGATGAAAGGAGGATTACAAACAAAGCACGGGTTTTGAAATTTCGATGAAGCAGCACCAAATCTATATTGTTTACTTCAAAAAAAAATCCCTAGGCTTTGTTTGAGATAGTATTTTACAACAAGAATTCACTGTTGAGGAATGCATAATTGAAGATAGATCAGTGGCTTCCAGGCTAGAAGGCAAAGGCCGTTGAGATACCAATTCAAGGACGAAGGTGAAATATAATGGTAAAATTTGGCTTTAGTCCTTGACTTATTTACGATTTTAGAATTAATCTCAAATATAGTTTACTATATATAATTCATGTTAAAATTATTTTAATACCTAAGTTAGATTAGAGGTTAGGTGAGAACTTAAAATTTCAAGCGGCTTTGGTTTAAGTCAAGTGAAGAGCAATTTAACATTAGTTTTTTTCAAATAAAATGATGTTGTTTTGAGCATTAAAATAACCACATCAAAACAACGTCGTCCTGATATAATGTCCATGTCAACAGCCGTAAGCCAATGCACTGTGTCGTTAACGATTTAACAACGGAGTGGTATAATTGAAACAAAAATAAAAGTTCAGCATTATAATTGACAAAATTAAAAGTTCAATTGTATAATCGATACAATGCCTAAAGTACATTGGGATTTGGTGTAGTTTACCCTAATTTTAAATATTAAATTCATGATCTTCATTTGAATCTATATAAATGTAGGTTTTTTTATTAGAAAAAGTAAGATTGAAGTTGTAACCCCTAGACCCGACCTGGACGTTATGACCAAATCTAGGAGGTTACATATCATATTCAAAAATTCTTTTCATATTTAAAATAATTTTAAAATCCATATAATAGTATAATATGGAATTAACCATAAGAAAGATTCATATGATATATATATAATCAGAAAACCGTATAAAACATATAAAATACTGGTAATACATATATATCAAAACAGTAGTAAAAACACATGTTGTCAAAGTATAACTAAAGGCATATAGAGATATACAATGGTACAAAAATAGGAGTAGTCGATCTTCCTGATGCCAAGTCTACGAGCCTACGGAAAATGTTAAAATTTACAGAATGAGCTAAAAAGCCCAGTGTGCTCCTTACAGTGTATAAAACTATAAAGATAAAATACTTCAGTAAAAATCAGTTCATCAAACATGTTTTAAAAATATGAACACTACCTCTATCCTATCACCAGAATGTGTAGGTTCACCATAACCATACACCCACCTGTACACCCGGTAAAGGCCTTATGCATATAACATAAGGACTTGAGGTATGGACTTACCCTGAGTACAAAACAGAGTAGTATGCGGTAAGGTCTTACAAGTCATAGACTATGCCTGATATACTTCATCCAATAATACCCCCAATGACAGTATAAACATGTATGTATTCGAGTGAAAATAGTAGTTTAATCCATTAAAACATGAAAATATTCTATACTTAGAAATTAGATACAGAAATACAGTAATAAGAGATCATATCAGAAATATATAGTAAATCAAATATCAGATAAACAATATTCAGAAAATCAGGTATCATGTCGTAAAAATATTTAGTATCATTAGAAATTTAAGCAGTTCAGATAAAGAGTTTAAAACAGTAATGAAACACCATCAGGAAACACACCTGTATCGATCTAAGTAGTCTGATAAGAAAGCCTACTACTGGGTTTTTCGATCACGATCAACAGCAGGGCTAGATCCTACGAATTAGAAAATATATATCGGAATCCTAATATGAATAATAATAATAACCTTTATTTAATCAATTTACGAAAACCACGAGTAACTCTCGAAGAACGCGAATTGAGCGGATCTGACAGACAGGAAGCACCGGGTCTAATCGACCATCGGCGGGAGAAACACGAGTACCTTCATAAAAATATTCTCAAATGAATTCCTTAAACAAATCTCAAATAAATAAGCAAAAATACTAAAAATACAAAGCATTTTTGGATTAACGGGCTCGAATCAGAGCTTTCAATCAGAATTTGGCAAAACGGATCACAAAATTGGATGCAAAACGTCAAAAAACGTTAGGATAAAGGTTTTTGGAAACAGTCAATTGCGATCAACGGTCAACGACCAACAGTCAAGGGTCAACGATCAACGGGTGACCAGATCGGTTCGGGTTGGACCGAGTCGAGTCAGATAAGGTCGGAGAGGCGGGTCGGAGAGGGAGGCAGGTCGGATTGGGCATCTTCTAGAAGTCCACTAGGCAGTGGACCTTCCCCACGTGCAGTGACGGTAAGTGGGGCTGCGTGCGGGGCCTTCGAGAGTCGAAAAAAATATGAAAAAAATTCTAGATGCATTTTAAGGGGTTTTGAGAACTTATCAAGCTCGGTTCACAAAGGTGAACGACAGAGACTCGATTTCGCAACGTCGAAAACTTAATATTCCTCACCCCTCCCACGTTGATGGCAACAGAGTCAAGATGGACAACGGTGGACTCGGTATTATGCAAGGAACACGATGGTACGGAAGGTGTTGAAAACAGAACAATGGTCGGTGACGAAACGTCGATTGAAGTTTTTTGCTAAAGGAGGAAAGCTTGAAGAGAGGAATGGGGTTTTTAAACAAGGAAACTTTCTAAATTTGGGATTACATATTCCTTAAAAGGAAAATGGTAAAATTATGCCATAGGTCTTCTATTTTTTTCGACTCTCGAAGGCTCGGTTCACAAAGGTGAACGACAGAGACTCGATTTCGCAACGTCGAAAACTTAATATTCCTCACCCCTCCCACGTTGATGGCAACAGAGACAAGATGGACAACGGTGGACTCGGTATTATGCAAGGAACACGATGGTACGGAAGGTGTTGAAAACAGAACAATGGTCGGTGACGAAACGTCGATTGAAGTTTTTTGCTAAAGGAGGAAAGCTTGAAGAGAGGAATGGGGTTTTTAAACAAGGAAACTTTCTAAATTTGGGATTACATATTCCTTAAAAGGAAAATGGTAAAATTATGCCATAGGTCTTCTATTTTTTATGCTTTCTAAATTTGGATTTAAATTTAATCAAAATTTCACTATGATACCTGAATTTAATTTAAATTTCAATTTAGTCCTCAAAATAAAATTTAAGAAAAATTATATGCCCTATTTTGGGGTGTGACAGAAGTTAAAATTTTTAAAAAAATCGAAAATCGAAAATATTATTTATTTTAAAAAAATAATCTGAGGTGATTACAATGTAATATATGTTAAGAATCTTTCTTAGTCATTGACCACACCCCCTATAAATACAGTTGCTTCAACCCGAAACTTATAAGACAACAACATTTTATTTTATCATTAGTACTGTTAAGTAAATTCATAAAAATTATTATTTAAAAGTGGACATAAAAAGTAAAAACAAAATGTTTTGAAAAGTGGACGGTGCAATTAAAATTTTATTGATTGCCCTGGTTATATATATATATATATAGACAGACCCTGTCAAATCAACACCAAATAATTCCGAAACAAAATCAGATTGCTTAAACACAGATCCTGTCAAATAATTCCCACACAAATTATCACATTATCTAGAATTGATAAACACAAGTGCAGCTCCCTCTCAAACACAAGGTAAACAGTAAAACAAGCGAGTCAGGCAAAAGCATACAAGCGTGGGGCAAAAGAGAAGCACTTAAAACCATAGCTCCACTTGTCGGGTATTAAAGGACACTTGGGCAACCAATGCCAGCTCCTCCTCGAAACCTTGTAATACAAAATCTCCGGCCAAGTAAGGCAGCAAACAAAGATCATCCCCTCATGCCAAAAGCAATAAACTTGTTCATAGTTATGGTAACACACCGACACAAATTTCCTGCACATCAGCTCAGGCAATCTTTCAAGTTCCTCCCAGTTTCCTCCCTCCCCTAATTCCCACAATTCCACGCTCCTCGAAATCCCATTCCTCCCCACCCCCCCGACCAAATACAGCTTCCCTTTCACGGCATCACTCACCAGCCTCACAAACGTCAGCCCCCTCGGCATTTCAGTGTAGAGATTCCCCCATTTTCCGGTTTCCAAATTGAAGCACACGATCGAAAACGGCTCTGGTGTGCTGAAACACAAAGACCCTTTGTAGAATGCACCTTCTTGGTGAAGATTATCGATCAAGAGAGGTTGAAAACCATCGTGTCTTCTCCAAGAATGGTCCTTTGAGTCGTACACGAAAGCGTAATTTGTAAGGAATTTAGAGCAGAGCATGAAGATTTTGTACCCTTTCGGAGTTGAAACCAAAGTGAGCAGCCCGAAAGAGAAAGGGAAGAAAGGGTGTTGAATAACCCTAGAAGATTTACCCAACATGTTGCATACGAGGAAAGAACATGAGTTTGAGAGGGAAAAGCATAAAAGTCCATTGGAAGATGAAACGAGATTTAACTCAGAAACAAAAGAAGGGAACAAAGAGGCGGGAACTACCAAGTTATGCCAAGACCCAATGGTGATATCATAGAGAGGGAAATGACAGTAAAAATGTGGATGAGAAAGCAACAAAAACGAAGACAAATGAGAACCAGAAGAGTGCTTGGAAACGAAAGAAGGAGTGAATACAAGGGAGTTGAAATTCTTACAAGTTGACCTCAAATTCAAGAAGGTTTTAAGAGGCAAAAAACAGAGTATGTGCTCCAGGAGTTCTTGTGGCAGCTTGCTCCAGATTCCAGGATCCATCTCTGTCGACCTTGTTTGAGATTTCAAGGTGTTTAAAATCATGGGTTGGCTTGATTTTATCTTCAGACGAGACTTTAAGCTGCTCGGCGTATTTTGCAGGCCTTTGAACTGAAACATGGATTGATTTTACAAAGTTTTATGGCGATGTTTTTGAAATGACTAATGAATGAACAAAGGGATAGTACAATAAATAAGTGGCAGCAGCATTGAGCGGAGCCTCCATTGACTTGTTCATTGCTAAGTTAACTTAAACAAAATATATAATTTTTATTTGATTTTGATGTTTTCCATTAAAATTGGACTAAAATTCAAATAATGAATTTTAAATCAAATTTAAACTCTAACTTCTCATTGGTCTAATTTGGTTGGACTTAAATAGTCTTTTTCATTCCGGGATTGGTGTATTTCATGAAAATAACTTATATTACTTCTATGTTTGTTTATTTAAAGATATCTATATGAATAAAAATAAATTATTTGGAGATGATCTGTTTATTCATGAAAATAACATAAATATTACTTTTATGCTTGCTGCTTTAAAGACAATTAAATGATTTAAAATATATATTAAGAAGTGGTCATTGTGATAGAGGATGCTATTTTTTATAAGTGATATGAAATTACGACAGAATATTATAGTTTGAAAATGTAAAATATGTCTTAAAAGCTGAAAAAATAAAAATGGGAAAAATAATCCATTAAATTTATAATTGGTTTCCTTCGTAGCAGGTATTGAAATGAAATAAAATCATAAAAAATAATGTAGACTTTTCAAAAAGAAAAATCAAATTAACAAAATTATTTTATACTAGTAGCAAATACAATAAATTTATTTTCTAAAATTTAATAACTCATAATTTTAATGATAAAAAATATTGTCATTTTTAAAAGATTTACGTTGTATATATAGGTGTACATGCTGTCGTAACTAAACATTTTTTAACAAATAATATCTTATAAATAATGCCCTAAATTATTAAAAGATAAAAAAATAATTTTAAATATTTTCATGATTGTTAACAGTACTACCATAGAGACAATTAGGAAGATGACCTTTTAAAATAAATATAAATATAAATATAATATTATGAATTATTATAAATGTTGTCAAGTGACACCTTTAATATTTTTCTCTGGAAAAGTAAAAAGGGAGGAAACCAACACAGTCCATGCTTATAACTATTTAAAACGTACAAGACTCAATTTATACATTAAATAATAAGGTAAATCGTGATATCAATTATATTATTCTTCTAATTGTGTTTTTCACAAGACACTTTCTCATTATACCAACTAGGAAAAGGGGACAGCAGAGGCTTAACAAAACGTGGAGCAATCAGCTGAGCTTGGAGCAACTTTGGGATATAACTTGCCATACGAAAATGAAGAAAAGTTGGGTAGAAACTCTTTTGACCTCATTTCCCCATTGCTATGCCCATCCTGAAGACAATGTGACTGATCATTGAGATGTTTAGCCTTCTTCAATGGCACTTGAACCTTTTCCATGCTTATTTTCTTTGATTCAGGCTCAACTTTTGTGTTAGAAGTTTCACTCTCTATTTTTGCTTTTTCCAACATGTCCTCTGTCACATTTTCTGGAAGCATACCCGATTTTTGGAGTTGAATTGGATTTCTACATTCCCCAACAGGTTCTTGATCATTTGTTATCATTGCATTGGCTGCACCACTAACATTCCGATCCTCACTCGAAGTTTTCATCTTTTCTTTCTCAATATGGTCCTCTAATATTTTCTCCCCATATATTATTGCAACCATCATGCTCATTAGCTTGGACATCTGTTCCTTGGACTCAACTTGGAACTTTCTTGTTTCATCAAAAAAATTTGTTGAGTCTTTATGAGTTGCTCCTAGGTTCTCTCGATCATACTAACACGTGCTGATATTTCATTCATCGCTTTCGATCTTTTTAGAGATACGCTCCGGGTTACTTTAATTTTCTTTCAGAATTTCTTTCATAATATTCTTCACAAATTACTCTCGCGTTTTCATGATTGACTCGTTTTAATATGCTATGCAATGTATGACATATAGATGTGAATGTAAAGATGCAGGAAATACAAATAAGAAAATGCAGAAATGGGAATGCAAAATGTGCAATGCAAATGCAAATATGCAAAAGGTGTTATTTAAGAGTGATCATCTTAAACAACTTTCATTGAACACAAAAGGTTTTAGTACATCAAACAAACTTTACATATAAGGGATAATTTTCACTCCTAATTTCTCTATTTTTCTCAATAGCCAAGTTAGTTTTCACTCATACTCGGATGTTGAGTTGTCAATATGCTTTAATTTTCTTGCAAATCCAGCTAAGTCAACCATTTTATGAGCCACATTAATGGGTTGAAAAACAACTTTCTTTTTGACATTGTCTTTTTCCTGAATCCTTTGCGTTAATTCTCAAAGTTATAGACAATATTGTTCATTCTCTCTTGTAAGAGATTCTTTATGGTCAAGAAGTCCTTGTACAAGATCTCCGTAATCATCTACAAACTTCATTAATGTATTGTTCTTGGCCCTAGTGGCTTCTAGTTCAGCATCAATCTCACACTGATGGATCTGATATGAAGCTTCCATGTTGGCTATAGATACATTCAACATCTGATTTTCGTCTTGACATATTCTCAAGTTGATTACAGTTATATTGCGCCATTCTTCAGTAATCCATAAATCATAAGAGAATTTCTTGGCTCGACCTTCTTTCACCTTGTTATTTTTCTTCATTGCTCAGCATCATTTTTCAGTTTAATGACCCTTGTTGTCCATTCTTCCGGGGTGTTTCCCATTCCAGTATTTTTAAAGGCTAAACTAATCCTTTGAAAATCATTACGCAGGGCTTTTATCTCTGCGCTCAATTTATCGTTTTCGATATTTAAATGATGAATTTGAGTCTCATACTTTAGCGAATCATCTTTCTTCTGGATGCCCCTACTAATACTTTTAGTTTTGAATACTTTTGGTATCAATCTAACTGGATCTTTGGGTGCATAGCTCTCCATTATCCTCAGAGTTTCCTTAAAATGCCATTCCTTAGATGTGTTATAGTTTGTTTGATCATGAAACCCTTTGCCCATTATGAAAACCTTTCACTTTAATTACCACTCTCAAATCACACCTTTATGACATGGTCAAGTAATGCAAGTAAAACGAAAGCAACATAAAGACACAAGTTAGTACAAATAACAAAATCAAAACATAAATGTAAATACAGAATAAAAAACAGAGAAAAATAAGTCAAAAAGGAAATTTTAATTCGAATTAATAGAAATAAAAGATCATATTCATTATGGTATTTACTTTGCCATGCTCAGTTCAACATATAAATCCTAACCTCATGCTTTCTAGTTCGCATGCTTCGCACAGAGACCTACCCGCATAATTTTCTAGTTCTCATGCTTCTTACGAAATAAATAAATTCGAGGAAAAGATTAGTTTGAGTTTCCCCTACAAACAAAAAATTAATATAAAACGGGCATAAATTCGGTACTACTAACATGATACTTGAATTGTCTTTTGCTGGTGCCCCTTGAGCCTACCAGACCCTCGATCGTCACCCATTATATGTTTAAACGGATTGAGTTCAATTCGAGAGGATTCATTTCCCCATATCCATGCGATTAAACGTGATGTTTCACTCGTAAACATAAGGCATATGTATCCTAGATGTTACTTGATAAAGCTCATGCGGAGAAAAATAATTTTTCTCACGTAAGCGTAGCGTTTACCCCTACCTAATGGGACAGAGCACAGTTAAAAGGCTCTCAATATCAAACAGTTGTAGTGTGTGAGGGGAAACTCACAAACTTTTACCTCGATCTCAGAACAATCAACTTAAAAAAAGTTATAAATCTGAAACACAAAAACTAAATAAATTAGTATAACTAAAAATAATTAATTATCAAAATTTAAATATCATTCATATTTTCTATTTGTAACTTAAAAAGAAGATGTATAATCGGTTACAGCTTGACTCTCTAAAAAAATGATGTCCCTAGCGGAGTCGCCAAGCTGTCGAAATGGTCCTCGCTGACTTTTTAGGGCTTTTTCAGGAATTGATCCGACTTAATATTGGGAACATGTCGGGTTTTAAATAAATAGACAAATTTTGAGTCGCCATCGACTTTTGGGTTAGGTAAGTCGAATACCTAAAAATACATTTTAAAATAATTTTAAGAAAAATAATTTTAAAAGATAAAAAAATTATATGTGTTTGACCAGGGATTCATTTTGAAAAGGGTTCGGGAGTCGGTTACGTGTAGGGAGTGATTAACACCCCCACAACGCCCAAAATTGGTGCTTACACGATTATACGTCATCTTAATTATTAAAATTGGCAAATTTGAATAATATTTAAACTATGATAATTGCAAATTAAAAATGGGATATTATTTTATAAGAATAATCCTTAGAAACACACTCCTTGTTAGTTAAGGCATGCTTCTATAAATTACTCGAGTAAAATAATATTTAAAAATATTATAATTAACAAAAATTAGCAAAATATTTAAATAAATGATTAAAATAATAAACATGTTAAATTTAATGATTAAATTATAAAAATAAAAAAATCATGACAACAATATTAAATAATTAACATATTAAGTACTAAAATTATAAATAAACCAATAATAATATTTAAAATTAAAAAACATTAAAATTCGGGGACTAAATTGTAAACCATCGAAATCAATGTCCATAAACAAAAATATTACAAAATCTAGGTATTAGAAGTGTAATTTAACAATAAATAACAATTCAGGATTAAAATGTAAATTATTAAAATAATAGGGACTAAACTGGTTATTTTACCTAAAACAGATATAAACACGGTTAATGACTAAAATAGACATAAAATAAAATTTGAAAGTCAAATTAAAATACACATAAATCAATTTCCAGTGACTAAATTGTAAAGTTTGCAAAGTATAGGGACCATAGATGGGATTTACCCATATAATAATTACACAGAAGCCCCTCCCCAAAACAACATCTTTTGGGGAGGGATATAAATAGGCTATTAACCGGCTCTTAAGGCCAAATTTCTCATTTTCTCAATTTCTTTCTCTCTCTAAAAGGAGAGAAAGAATTCTCTCTGCCCTCTCTCTACTTTCAGTTGT